TGCTGGCGCTGTGCTCGACTCTTGGGCGCTGCTCTCGTGCCTTCCGCACGCGGCATCCCAGCTGAATCCGACTCCCAGAGGGGCTAAGCCTTTAGGCCCGTCTCCGTTTCTGAACTTCGAAGTAGTCGACAGTGCTTCTATCAGTCTTGTGACTGCGGCTCTGCGAATCTTATCGCACAACAAAAACAACCCTGATTGGAACAGTTGTTCACGTCGCTAGTTTGTTCGTTTCCTCTTTGATGCTTTGATCCCTGTGAAATGAGGCGCGAGTTGCGCGAGGCTGTGGTTGCTTGGGCAAATGGTTCGGCAGGACGCTCCGCGGGGTCCGTTTTGCGCGCAACGTGTGAGACAGGCACCTGAACACAACAGCCTGAAGATTTCTCGATGATCCTGTAGCGTAAGACCAAACTCTCCCTAAAACACTGGAACTTTGATTGCTTGGTCCTTCCGTAGTCTGCGCTTCGGTAGGTTTGGGCATGCCTTCGGTCGCTCGTCCATGCCCAAAACAGGGAGCCCTTGCAGCTTCGGCTTATAATAATTACAAAAGGGTTTTGGGGGAAGTTGGGCTAGACCCGCAGCCCTTCATCCCAAAATTGCCACACCCGAAGCCTATCTGCCTTCCTGACAGGAAGGAGGGACCTTGTGGCGACATACGGTGAGATTTCGGGCTGGGATGTCTCTGGCGTGAGCAACATGAGCGGTTTGTTCCAGGACGCCCATTCAAAATCTGAAGGGTTCAAGGCATACTCTACACAGCTGGAGCTGTTCCTGCTTGAACCAGTGATCGATAGTGCTCCCTGAGGACCTTCCCACCTTCAACGAAGATCTCCGTTTGTGGAACACTGCTTCAGTGACCGATATGCGTGGAATGTTTGAGAACGCCCAGGCCTTCAATTTGCCCATTGGGGCATGGGACACATCAACGGTGATGGACATGAGCACGATGTTCAAGGGAGCACGTGCCTTCGACCAGCCCATCGGTTCCTGGAACACATCGGCAGCAACTACCATGAAGAGCATGTTCTTTGGTGCTCAGGCTTTCAACCAACCAGTTGGCTCATGGGATACATCTCAGGTGAAGAACATGGCTGGAATGTTTGACTATGCGTATCTGTTCAATCAGCCCATCGGTACCTGGAACACGGCAGCAGTAACAGACATGAGCTGGATGCTCTTC